CACCCTGATTTCAAGATATACCACAGAGCTATAATAATAAAACCAGTATGGAACTGGTGTAAAAAACAAGCACACTAATCAGTGGAATACAATTGAGGACCAGATACATAAGTCATTGCTACTATAGCCATCCGACTTTGAGGCCAAAAATACACAATGGAAAAAAGACAGCATCTAAAACCAATGATGCTTCTCAAACTGGATAGCTACCAGTAGAAGAATCAAACTAGATCCTTATTTCTCACTTGAAAAATACTCAACTCCAAATAGATCTAGGACCTCAATGTAACCTGATACCCTAAATCTGACAGAGGAGAAAGTAGGGTCTATGCTTCAATTTACAGGCACAGGAAAAAGATTTCCTGAACAAGAGTCTGGTAACACAGGAATTAAGACCTGTAACTGACAAATGGGATGCCTCACTAAACTAAAAAAGCTTCTGAATAGCAAAGGACAAACATTCAAATGAAGAGTAGTCTTCAGAATGGGAACAACTTTATCAATTATATATCTGACAGAGGGTTGGGGTCTAGAATATACAAAGAACTCAAAAAAATTCAAGAAAACAACCAAATTAAAAATTAGAATATAGAACTAGACAGTTCTCAAAAGAAGAAATATAAATGGCTGAAAAATATTCTTTTAATGCTCAATATATTTAGTCATTAAAAAAGTGTAAATTAAAAATTTTTTGAGATTTTTTTATATTACTTCAATCAGAAGTGCCCCCCCACCTCCCCTCAAAAGACAACAAAATGCTAGTGTAGATGTGGGAGAAAGAGAACACCTATTTATTGTTGGTGGGTGTACAACCATGTGGAAATCAATGTTGTTGTTCTTCAAACAGCTAGATCTACAGACCATATGCTCTACCTATGCCATTGCTACTCCCAAAGGACTCTGTCCTATTACAAAACTTGTTCAACCATGTTCATTGCTAATACATTTACAATAGCCAAGAAATGGAAACAGCCTTGATATCCATCACCTGTTAAATGGATAATGAAAATGTGCTGTTACATACACAAAATGGAATATTATTCTGTTGTAAAGAAAAATAAAATGGTGAAATTTGCAGGTAAATGGATGGAGCTAGAAATAATCAAAGGAGGTATAATAGAACCAGAATGACAAATACGACATCTTCTTTCTTATATGTGGATGTTAGATTTAAATCTTCAAGTATGTGTATCTGAATTGGAGTACCCATAAAAGGCAGGAAAACTAGTAAGGTGCAATGGCAGGGTAGATTTCAAGGAAATGGGGACAGAGTATGAGTGGGGAAAAGGGAATGTGGAACAGGAAGGGTTAAATGGGGTGGGGAATGAGAGGGCAGAGCAGAGGAGTATCATGGTAAGGGATAACTAACACTAAAGGTCTTTGAAAATGCCATATGGATATGGAAAAGCTTACTACCATAGAAGCTTCCTAAAAAAATAAAATCACATACAGAGAGAGAGAGAGAGAGAGAGAGAGAGAGAG